TGCACACCGCTTGCGCGACACAGCGGGTCGGACCCGCGGCGCCGCGCGCCATCCGAACCGGGCCGCGCCGTGGACGCCTCTCGCGCCCGCGCGGCCGCACGGGGGGCCCGAGCTCCACTCGAGGAGCCCAGGACCCCCCGACCGAGAGGACGGCGAGGACGATCTCTCGGAAGAGCAGCTCTCTCTCTCTCTCTCTCTATCCGCCTTGGCGAAGCCCTCTGGCTCGAGCTCTGGCTCTCGCGGTGGGGGGCGGCCCGACCCGAGCGGTGGCCGCCCAGGGATCCACCTCTCGGGGCGATGGGCGGTGACTGCAGCGTGCCCAACAGGTGCGCGCAGACCTGCGCGATCGCCTGGCGGTGGCGCCCAAGAGGGAAGTCGGCCCCTGCATCACCGTCCTCGAAGGAGGAACACGTGCATAGACATCAAGTGTTCGACGTCCGCGCGGAGTTCTGGGATCGGCGCTTGGACTCCACCAGCAGGCGCTGCCAGCGTGGCTCTGGCGCGCTCCGCGCGCCAGGGAGAGGGGTCCAGCTGCGCGGGGCTCCGAAAGTATATGTTTGTCATTTCCAGACGTCTCGAAATGTTTAAACATGTCTGAAGCACGCAAAGCCAACAGCCAACATGTTTCAAACACTTTTGGATCATGCTTTCAAACATTGTTCATCCATCTTGAACTCAAAGATCGGATTGTCAGGGTGCCCATTAGCATGGCATCAACAAGTTTATGTTTATGCAGTTCTTCCTCCCTCCACATCCAAGCTGGAGCTCCCCGGTGCAGCCAGCAGAAAGTCCAGCGTGCTGCTGGCGGACGTGGCAGACCGGCCTGGGGCCGGGGGCGGCCTCAGCCAGCGGTCGCTGAAGCTGGAGCTGCTTGCCTGCCTGTACTAGGGGAACGAAAAATGACATGAACATAGTAACTCGGAGGTCCGCGCAGATTTCTGGGATCCGCGCTGGACCCCGCTCCCTGGCGCGTGGAGCGCGCCAGGGGCGACGCCGGAGGCGCCGCCAGGGGGCCCCAGCGCGGATCCGAGAAATCCGCGCGATCCTGAGTTTTTATGCGTATGTCATTGTTCGTTCCCCTATGTACCACCAGGGCAAAAACCTGGACAGCGTGTATGAGTACACCACCACTCCGCCGACCGTCGTGGGCAGCGGGTTCAGCGGGGACGTCGTCCTGTGCCGGCGGCGCGAGAGAGCTGCCGTGACGGAGCCCGGCAGCGAAAACAGCCGGCCCTTACCCTCGTCGATGAGCCGTCGAGGCCACGCGATGGGCAGCAGGGGTGGAGACCGCAATTCGTTGAGCACGCGGAGAAATCTGAACCCTACCTTGGTCCCCCATCGATTCAGGAGAATCGCTGGCTGGTGAGGGTAGGGTTTGGACGTCGCCACCTAGGAGAACAACGAGACCGCCGTGCGCTGCGTCAAGAAGTTCGACCTGCAGAGGATGAGCCCTGACAAGATGACGAAGCTAAAAAATGAGGCCTCCATCTACCTCTCCCTCGAGCACCCCAACATCGCGCGCCTGTTTGACGTCTTTGAGGACGATCGAGAGGTCAGCCTAGTGATGCAGTACTGCTCTGGCGGGACGCTGGAGCACGCTCTAAGGAGTCGCGGAGCCTTCGAGGAGCAGGCGTTCAAAGAGCACGCGGTGCCGATGCTGGCCGCAGTCAACTACATCCACCGCGCAGGCATCGTCCATAGGGACATTAAGCCGCGCAATTGGGTGCACGAAGCCGACGGTGCCACCGTGAAGCTCATAGACTTCGGCTTCAGTGCCAAGCAGTTTCTGGGCGTAGAGCACTCGGACAGCTTGCAGGGCTGCATGGGCACCCTGGGCTACCTCGCCCCCGAGGTGGTTCGGGCCGGGCTGGGCGACAGCGCCGCCTACGGTGCTGGGTGCGACATGTGGTCCCTGGGAGTGGTCTTCCTGGAGCTCCTCACCGGAGAGCCCGCCTTCCACAGGGACAGCGGCTTCTGCGAGGGCTACACGGAGGAGGTGGTGCAGCGCGAGATCCTGGACGTGTCCGCGGACCTCGTGGGGAGGCTCGTCGCCAGCGCGCCAGAGGAGCCGCGGCCGTTCCTGCGCAGGCTCCTGACGCCCGATCCAGACGCACGCCCGTCCGCCGAGAGCGCGCTACAGGATCCGTACCTGGAGCAGCCCGTGGCCCAGCAGCTCCAGCCCGCGAGGGCGCTGCCCGTGCGGGTCGTGCTGGACCGCTTCCGAGCCCACGGGCTGGCATCGAAGCCCTCCCGCGCCTGGCTGCAGGCCCTGGCGCGCT